GAGGGTCTGCGAGGATTTTTGGGAAGGGTAAGTGAATAAATCTACGAAAATCACAAGTTTATCAGAGTTTCTCTGCAGATAGTGTCTGTGGCTATATTAAGTTAAGAACTGAGGTCAGAAATTGATCATTTTTTAAATTCTTATTTAGCAAAACAAGTGAAAAAGGTTTGTTAAGTTACTGCAAAGGAGACTTGGCTAGTGAAAGAGATAGGGTGTGTGAAAGTTAAAGAGAAAACAAAGAAGGAAACACCCCTGGAAAGTCAGGGATGGGCCCAAACCTTTGGCATACTTCCAGCAGAAAGAGCTTGTAATTCTTTTTTTTTTGAGGACTAAGTAAAAAAGTTATTATCCAGGTGTTAGCAAGAATGTTACTAGCAGACAGTTTCTGAAATGTGCTTACAGACACTTCAGCCTTGAGCCTCAAGGCTTTGGGAGTTATAAAATTCTTAGTGCTGCCCCACTTGTCCAACAAACTTCGGAATTGCTCTCAGCTCCTTTCCAGGTGTAGCAGTCTCAAGGGCCCGTGCCATGTGGGGTCTCTGGTTCTCTGCTGTGGCTGCTACTGCTACTGGTCCTATAGGCCCTCTTGCTTCCCCTTTTCTGATAGGAATTGATTTTAAAGGAGCTCTGGGGGAGGGTGGCAATTTGCTTTCATTATGATTCCAAGGTTATAATCTGGCTGTCTACTTTGTGATTTGAGTGAAAATTTGCAGAGCAAATTGGTTTTCTATTCAACCATTCATACATACTTTGTTTTATAATGTGAATTAGAACAGATGCAATGTGACAGCACTCTTTCCACTTCCTCTCTGGGATGTTTGTTTCCACTAATCCTCTATCCCTTGCCCCACCCTCTCCACCCCCACCCGACCCGGCTTCAGGACTTAAATGCTACCCCCTTGAGATAATATTGTTATTATTGTTGGCTATTTTTCTCTTCTTTTCTGGTTGTGTACCTTCAAATAGGATCCGACTGGCACAGGAGGAGATTGCCCCTCCTTCTCCAGCGGAGCATCTGGTGGATTAGAACTGTGCGCCTTCAGGATTGCAGTGCAGGTTCTTGCCACTAGGCCACCAGCGTTCCCTGTATTGTTGGCTATTCTAAGTGAGTGCCTTTTGGTGTTAATGGTCTCCTTATCTACTCAACGCATTGCCATCAGTTTGGTGTCAAGCATTGCCATCAGTTTGGTGTCAATCCGTAGCAACTCTCATTGAGTTTCTGGGACTCCAACAACTATTCTTTAGAGAGCCCAGATGACCTAGCAGTTAAGACACTTCACCGCAATCTTGGAGGCACATCATTTGAATCCACCAGCTGCTTCACAGGAGAAGGAGGGGCAATCTCCTCCCGTGCGATTAACTGCCTCTGAAAACCGGCTGGAGGGTCAGCTATGGGTTGATTCTGACGCGATGGTACTCAACAACCACCACCTCAACCACTGGTCTCTCCCTGCCTGAGACACATGTAGAAGGAAGGAAGGAAGTGAAAGTATCCTGAATCAATTCATCCAAAGGCATAATAAATTCACTGCTGTCCTTTTGGAACTGACTCATAGCTGACTCATCACTGGGTTCCCGAGGCTGTGAATCACATGGGAGGCGGTGGCCCATCCTTCTTCCTATGGAGCCTCTGGTAGACTCAAGCCAGCAGAGAAGTGTCCAACTCGCTACAGACTAGCCACCAGGTCACCTCGTGGGTCTGCCTGTTGTCTGTGTAGAGCTGAGTCACCGGAGTGAGTTTTCTGCAGGTTTGAGATGAGGTCTGAGGACCATGGTCTCAGGGCTTCTATCACCAGCAGAGCTGACATTTTGCAGATTCTGAGTTTTGTTTCACATCTCCCCCTCTCTGCCTGGGAGAACTTTCTGTGATCCTTTTAGAGTAGCCAGAGACACCATCTAGTTCTGGTCTCAGGATCACGGATGGTGAGAATCCAAGGGTCCTTTTAGGAGCTCTGGGGGCCTAATCCAGTATGAAACTGCACGCCTAACCCAACGACTGGGTTAGCTTTTCTACCTCCTTCTTTGTTTCAGGAAGAAAAATAGTTGTACCGTGGTTGGCCACTCACAAGTTCTTAGAATCCCAGTCATAAGACTGTAATCTTTGCAGGGGCTGACTGCTACACCTTTCTCCCAAGGAGTGACCAGTGAATTTGAACCACTGACCTTTGGATTAGCAGCAGAGTGCTTAAGCACTGTTATCATAGGCAAGAAACCCTGTAGGCAGTTCTCTTTGTCGTGTGGGGTTCCTATGAGTTGGAATCTACCAGACTTCATGAATAATAACCATGGGTAGTAGTGGTGCTAAGAGCCCAGAGGGGTTCAGCCATGGATTGGAGGGATCTGAGGGATCTTCATGGTGCTCTGGGGGTGCTCGGAGCCGCACATCCTCTCTGTCTTCACCCAGAGGAGCCCTGGGAGAAGTGACAGTGAGCTTCAGGACCAGCAGCAGCAGTCTGGCAGTGCGGGGCAGGCGACAAAGGACTTCGTCCAGAAGAAACAGCATGACAACGCTAAGGCCGGGGAGTAAGTGGCTTGTGGGGGCGGCTGGGCAGGCTGAGGGGCTTCAGCAGGCCCTGACCCGTCCTCTCCCTCCTCAGTCTCTTGCCCCCTACTCCTCGGAAGCCCTCCTTCCCCTTCCAGTGGGCCTGGGAGAGCATCGCCTTGGATGGCCGGGTCCTGCTGCAGCCTGGCTCTCCTGGGGCCTCCAGCCACCACACCGAGCGGGCCCAGAGCACCCAGGGCCTGCCCTTGTCCCTAGTGAAGCCCCAGTCACAGTTCCAGCCCAAGTCCAGACACAAGTGCACAGTCACCCTCCCCGAGGACCAGGGCTCCTGCTGGAAGAGCATCGTGCCAGTCTTGGAGGGGAGAGGGCAGGAGACCAAGGCCAGTGAGGAGGGGCACTGGGCACTGGAGCACCCTGGACAGGGGGACCCCCAGGACCCTTGGCTGCCTGGGAAGGTGTGGGATCCCGAGTCTGAGGAAGCTGCTCAGTTCGAAGCCCTGAGTGAAGAGGAGGCCATTTGGGGGCCGAGACCTGGAGAGTTGGGGCAGAGGCTGGTCTGGGAGCAGGAGGCAGAGGAAGCCAAGGAGGGGGAGCACAGGACCCCCCATGGAAGGAGAGCCCGGCCTCGAAGGAAGGGACAGAATTCTGGTGAGGAGAACTTGGACAAGAGTGACCCACAGGGCGACAACCTGGGGCACAGCCCCCGTCCCAGAGACCAGCTGGGGGCACAGAGGGGGAAGCCAAGGCCCAAGGGGCCCGGAGGGCCAGAGGGGCCATGGGACCTGGCGAAGCTGCAGCAGCAGTTAAAGCAGGAGCTGGAAGGACAGGGCCTCTGCGGTGAGTGAGGGGCTCCCAGGAAATCACCAGCAGGAGGGGGTTTAGCAAGTCAGGACTGGGGTGCTGGAGTGGGGACTTCCCAGTGGCCTGAGAAAGAAAGTGGTCTCTGACTTGGGTCCATCACGGGCAGGGCCCCAGAAGCAGTCCTGCAAGGTGGTGCAAGATACTGTCCAGGCTTCTGGTCGGGGCGGCAAAGCCGTGAGAGAGGACAAGACAGTCCTATCGTCCAGCTTCTCGAACCGCACCTTCCACAAACGGCAGGAGGCCACCAGGTGAGGTGGGAGAAGGCAGTGGGCACCCAGGTCCCGAGAGGGTAAGAGCCAGGTCATCGGGAGAGTCCTAGCCCTCCTTCCTTCATTTATCCACCCACCGACATTTTTTATAATTATCATTTGATTAACTCTTCCATCCACTGGCTTACTCACCGACCAGCTCACGCTTCCAGCCATCTAGCCACCCACTCACCCATCCTTCCTTCCATCTTTCTATGCTTCCATTCAGCTACTGAAAACATTCATCCAACCTTCCATCTGTCCATCTATGACCCTTCAACCTATTTCTTTCTCCATCCCCTAATATGTCCCTTCTACTGTTCATTAATCCAGCCCTCTTCTTGTGCACTGACACACACTAGTCTTTGCTCCTGACTCAGCTTATTTGGATTGACAGTGACTGTAACAATGGGTCCAACATGGTCAGGATTCAGCGCAGGGTTCAGATCCATTGTCCATCGGGTTGATGGGCGTGGTCATGACCTCCACGGCACCTAACAACAAAAACGACCTCTTAACTAAGTGATCTGTTTTTCATTGCTGTTGAGTGGGAATCGACTCAAAGCTGGCCCTCCGTTGGGTTTCTGACACTGTAAATCACGTGGGAGCAGACTTACCACCTTTCTCCCAGGGGCCGCTGATGGAATCACAGAGTGCCGTAGCTTTTGGGTTGGCAGCCTGACTCCCTACAAACCACACACCAGAGCTCTCCGAAGATTCATTGACATGATCCATGCCAAACACCCACTCATGGGTCCTTAAGAGTTTGAGATAAAAAGTCCTGACAAGTTCAAGGTCTAGAAAGACAGATAGGAAAACAAGGGTGGCACTTGCTAGATAATTGCTATGCTTGGGGCTCTAACAAGAGGCAATTTGATCAGAAGTGTGGAGCGACCATGCTGGGGAGGCACCTGTCTAGGTGAGGGCTGATGAGGGCCTGAGTTAGGTGGCCAGGAGATGGAGACAGAAGGATTCATTTAAGAGATGCTTGGCAATGTTGGCAAGGTTGTGGAGAGACTGGAACTTTCATTCACTGCTGATGGGAATGTAAAATGGTACAAGCGCTATGGAAGGTGATCTGGTGCTTTTCCAAAGAGTTGGAAATCAAAATACTATTTGACCCAGAAATTTCACTACTGGGAATATACCCTAAAGAAACCAGAGCCATGACTCAAACTGACATATGCACAACCATGTTTATTGCTGTGTTATTCACAGTAGCAAAGAGATGGAAGCAACTCAAGTGCCCATCAACAAACGAATGGATAGAAAAACTGTTTTATTCACACAATACAACTTACACAGCACCAAAAAATAATGAACTTGTAAAACACTACACAATATGAGTGAGCCTGGAAGTAATTATGCTGAGTGAAATATCTCAGTCACGAAAGGACAAATACTGTAGGACTGACATGGGGGTCGGGGGAAGAAAAGGAAAACAGTGGACAGATAATGAACACTGCATTGGAACAGATGAGGGGAAGAACGGTCCAAAAGGAATTTAGGACTTTAGGTATCTACATGTGTGACAACAATCTGGAACAAAGGGTGCACTGCAAAGTGGAGGGGGGGGAAGGATGGGGGGAAATGTGCAATGAGTGAATTAGAAAAGAACATGAAATAAAATAAATAAAAAGCAAGACCTAAATACAAAAAGAAAGAGAGATGTTTGGAGGCTGGCTGGACAGGCACAGATGGCCGAATGGAAGTGGCAGGTGAGGGGAGAACTCAGCACTCTGGTAACTCATAACTGCTGAGTCAATTTCTCCTTACAGCCCCTATAGGGTGAGGTGACTTACTGTTATGTGCCATTAAGTTGCCTGCAACTCATAGCGACCTAATTCATGATAGCTCTGAACCTTGTTCTGCCCTGAGCCAATCTCACTGCCTCCAACACACCTACCCCTTTTACCCATTAGAGTCAGTCCATCTCATCTAAGGTCTTCCTCTCCTGAGCTGTCCTTCCACCCTTCCAAGCATGAGTTGACTTACTGTTATGTGCCATTAAGTTGGCTGCAACTCATAGCGACCTAATTCATGATAGCTCTGAACCTTGTTCTGCCCTGAGCCAATCTCACTGCCTCCAACACACCTACCCCTTTTACCCATTAGAGTCAGTCCATCTCATCTAAGGTCCTCCTCTCCTGAGCTGTCCTTCCACCCTTCCAAGCATGAGTTCTTCTCCAAGGACTGGTCCCTCTTGGCCACGTGCCCAAAGCATGTCAGACGGAGTTTCAAAATCCTTATCTCCAAGGAGTAAGCGGACTTCACCCTCTCGCAGACTGACCTGTTTGTTCTCTTGGCAGTCTGTGGTATGTTCAGTACTCTTCTCCAACACCACAACTCAAAGGTGGTGGCTTAGTGGTAAGGAATTCGCGCTGCCAACTCCAAGTACTTGGTTCGGATCCACCAGCTGCTCTGCAGGAGAAAGATGGGCAATCTCCTGTGTGATTTACCACCTCTGCAAACCTGCTGGAGGGTCACCTATGGGTGGGTTCCAACTCGACAACACGGCAGGGTAGAACCGTGCTGCAGGGACCCCAAGGCTGTAACCCTTGTGGGAGCCAACTGCTATGTCTCCCCTTGCAGCAGCTGGGGGTTCTTATCCACTACACCACAGGGCCCCTCAGCATTCTGGTGCAAACCCTAAGCCCACTGCTGCAGGGCTGGTTCTGACTCGGAGCCCCCTCCACGGGGTTGTCAAGGCTGCAAACCTTGTTAAGGAGGCACCCAGCTTCCTCCTGCCGAGCAGCGTAACACTAGTGCACCTCTTCACCAGAGCTCCTTCCCGCACTCTGCTCGCACCCCTCAGTCCTTCTCTACTTCTGCTTAAAATCCTTGCCTGCTTCTTCGAGCCCCCCATGAAGTGAAGGGACAAGATGAGCCCCAGATGCAGGTCTCAAGCACATTGGTCTGTCCCGACAAACCGTGTCCCCAAGACCTTGGGCTCCCACCATTCCTCCCCAGGAGCCCCTCCACACCCCTTCCTGTGAGTCCTCAGGACACCCACTCTTCTGTGAGCTCCCCCAGGCCACTTGTTTCTCTCTCCCCACCCAAGAAGCCTGCTGGCGTCCTGGGAGCGGCAGCAGCAGGAGGAGCAGCAGAGGGCAGAGCTGCGCCAGGCCCGGGAGCAGCGGATGCAGCAGCAGGTGGCACGCTGTCTGGCCACCTACACGCCCAGAGGTACCGGAGGGCCAGCTGCCGCCCAGCGCAAGCTGGAGGAGCTGAGGTAGGAGACGTGGGGCTTGGAGGAGCTGGAGAGGCGCGGGCAGAAGGGTCAGGGGGGCATTCAGTTGTGGGACAGAGGAGGCTCAGCCTGCATTTCCTTCAGGGCTGAGCTTCTACAGCTGTCCTTCCACTGCAACCCATTTTACGAATGAAGACATTGAGGCTCTAGAGGAGAAGGGCTAGTCCAAGGTCACGCAGTCAGTAATAAGAAGCCTGGCAGCTGTTTGGGACCCAAGGTTTAAATGGTTGACACCATGCATTATTACACTTTCTTATCTGATTTCCAAAGCCAGACGTGCTTATTATAACAATTAGGATGTTGCAGAAATCTTACAGGGCATGACCAGCCCTTGACTCCTCTTCTGAGGACAAGCAGTGTTCACAGCTACAAGAAGAGTCATCTGGTTTTCCCTGTGTATTTCTGTTGTTGTTAGGGGCTGTCGAGTAGAGCATGATTTAGGGGTGACCCTATGAAGAGATCTGAATCCTGTCCTGTGCCATCCTCATGTCTAACATACATGAGTCCACTGCAGCAATCATTGTGTCAATTCATTCTGTTGAAGGTCGTCTTTTTAATATTTTTTGTGTGTGTACCGTCAAATCGGATCTGATTGGTTCAGTAGGAGATTGCCTCTCCTTCTCCAGCAGAGCATCTGGTGGATTTGAACCACGTGCCTCTGGGATTGCAATGCAGCCACTAGGCCACCAGAGCTCCCTTGAAGGTCTTTTATTTCATTGACCTTTTCAAGCATGATATCCCTCTCTGAGGAATAATCTCTCCTAACAACATGCCCAAAGCATGTGTTGTTGTTATGTGCCGTTGAGTCGTCTGCGACTCATAGTGACCCTATGTACAACAGCCCTAAACTCTGCTCTTTCTTGTGCCAATCGCATGGCCTCTGACACACCCATCCCGATTACCCCAGCCACTGAATCAATCCACCTCATAGAGGGTCTTCCCCTCCTGCGCTGTCCCTCCACCCTACCAAGCATGATGTCCCCCTCTAAAGACCTGTCTCTCCTTACAACATGTCCAAAGTATGTCAGGCGAAGCCCCAGAATCCTTGTCTCCAAGGAGCATGTGAGGTGAAGATTTCTTACCTTTGCCTCCAAAGAAACACACTCTGGCTGCACTTCTCCAAGACGTGTCTCCAAAACATTTCTCTCTGTATTAGGACCATGTTTAGAAAGTAAAATCGGAAGCCAGATAAAGCTTTTTAAAAAACTCCTAACAGGCCCAGGAGGTCAGCAGACAACTCCTGTCTGGTTTCAGTCCTACCTGTCCATGAACTTTGTTTTGTCTGAACAGAACTGGAGTCAGCCCTGCCAATGAGGAGTGGGCACGAGAGGTATGGCCACAGCCAGGCCCCACCAATCAGGCTCATTCAGGCCACCGCCCTCGTCCTTGCCCCGGTAGGGAGGTGGCATATCTGCCTTTCATTCCTGACAATGGCAGGGTTGGTTCCACTGGCTCTGCTTCTTTTCTCATCTGGGGGCTTATTCCTAACAGAAATGGCACAAAATACCGAGACAGAGACAAGCACATGGCCCGGCCCTCCTCCCCTGCCTCTTAACTGCTGGAAACTCTCTCTTGTGTGAGGAAGACCCTGTTTTTGCACTAAACTATGTTCCTGGTCCTTCGGGGATACAGTTTGCTCTGAACTACTAACTACAGCCTGGCAGTTCAAACTCAGTGGACTGCGGAAGAAAGGCCTGGAGATCTTTCTGCAAAGGTTACAGCTAAGAAAATCTAGTGATGCTTCCTATAAGGAGCCTTGGTGGCTCAGTGATTAAGCACTCAATGGCTAACCGAAAGGTTAGAGGTTCAAATCTGCCTAGTGACTCTGTAAGAGAAAAAACCCCAGAAATTTGCTTCCATAAAGGCATCGAGCTGCCTCTGGCTCATAGGGACCCCAAGTACAACAGACAGAAACTCCGCATGAGCCTATGCCAACCCCACAATCTCTGCTGTGCTCAAGTGCATGTTCTAAGTCACTGTGTCAGTCCGCCTTGTTGAAGATCTTCCTCTCTCTTGTTGATCCTCTACCTCTCCAAGCATAAATTCCTTTTCCAGTGACCAGCCCCTCCTGACAAGATACTCAAAGCATGTGAAAGGAAGCCTCATCCCCACTTCTGAAGAACATTAAGGTAATAGCCAAGGAACCCTCAGGAACATGTCGGAGTTACCATGCGGGCTAAAGGAGACCACCCTGCAGGGATTTCTAGGCTGTAATCTGTACAGAAGCAGAGCACCAGGCCCGTGCCCTCCATGGTGCCGCTGGCTCAGTCTGAACTTTCAATCTTTTGACCTGTACTCAAGTACAAACAATCTGTGTCACCCTGGAAGCAAACCCACTGTCATACTGTTAAGTATGACTCACAGTGACACCATGAACCCCAGATCTGAACCCTGTCCTGTCCTGTGCCATTGTCACAATCTCTAACCCACTCGAGCCCATTGCTGCAGTCACTGTGTCAACCCATCTGGCTTTTCACATATTGCTAGAAGAGGTTATTACTTGGAGAGAAACATCATGCTTGGAAAGGGGGAGGGAGGCGAAGGTGAGGAAGACCCTCAGCTAACACCACTAGAGGGGAAAAAAATGGACCCAAAAGTTCAGAGGGGAAGTACCTTGGCCAAAGTCACACAGCCAACAACCACAACTTCCTCAGAGCTGCGGTGGGAGAAGGGCAGGGTGTGGAACTTAGGGAGGGGAGAGGCCAGAGACCTTCATGAGGACAGGAGATTCAGAGTGGGTGGTGTGTCCATGGGGTGGCAACCTGAGGGCAGTTTTGCTGTCCTGAGGCCCGTCTCCCTTCCAGGCGCCAGGAGCGACAGCGCTTTGTGGAGTATCAGGTGGAGCTGCGGGCCATGCAGCACAGGGTCCAGGCCCGGCCCTACCTGTTCCAGCAGGTCATGCAGGTGAGGGCAGCACCTGCATGAGCACATGAGCACTCCCGAGGACAGTGATCTCCCCAGCTGAGTCACGAAGGAACCAAGGTGGGGAGCAGGGCCCCCTTGGTGGGCTCATCTTGAGCTCAGTGGTTCCCACCTATTTTCACTCTTCAGACCAATGCCCGGCTCACCGCAACCAGGCGCTTCTCCGAGGTGCTATCGGTAATGGGCCTGAATGAGGAGCAATTGTTGGCTAAAGGCAGCCGGGGAAACACAGAGGGCACCTCCAGGAAAGCTAGGTGAGGCTGCCCAGCTGGCCAAGACGCTGGCTGACCAGAGCTGGGGGAGGAGTCCCAACACCCGTACTCCCAGGCCTGCAGGAACCCCCTTAGGCAGCAGCCTACAGCTGGACATCTGAGCTAAGGCTGTGGAACCCCAAAGACAGCCACAATGATCAGTTCCAAATCTTTGCCTCAGTCCTGTCCTGCCCTCTGTGTCACCTGAGCAAGGCATGGTCAGGGTTATCTACCCACTTCTTCATGAGAATCTGATGACCCGAGGGACAGGGACTTGCTGAAGGACAGACAAGCAACATAACCTTTCTGTGCATGCACCCCCAGAGGCCCGCTCACAGGGTGGAGCCCCACTAGTCGGCCCGTGTATACCACCCCTCACTCCATAGAATAAGAAAACGCCTTAGTGCAGGAGCAGGGGTCACAACAAGGGAACTAAGGCTCAAGGAGAGAGGTCATACAGCTGGATAAACGCTGGCATTTGATCCCACATTGATCAACACAAATATTTTCCCTCTGTCCAGACACTGGGGTGGGGGTAGGGTGAGTTCAGGCCCTGTAGATACCAGTATCTTTAAGGAGTCATGGGTCAATGGGGTGAAAATGGAGTACCTTTCTCAGAGATCCTCAAAGATAGACCCCAGACCACCGGCAACCAGGCTGACAGACCCTTCACTCCATTTTCTGAGATAAAAATTAAAGGATGTGTGGGAATGCAGTGTGGGGTGTCTGGGGGAGGGAGCTGTGGGCTGGAAGTAGGAGGTGGAAAGGGGGTGGGCTGCAAGCTTAGTCTGTCCCCACTGCAGGGGCTCAGGCCACTCTGGCCGTCTGCTTAGCAGTAAGGTAAGCCCCCAACACTACTAACACATGCTGCATCCTAGGAATTCAAAGGTTAAAGGGGACAGGTATGGCTCCTAGAGGCGGTGGTGACCGGGACCTGCGCCGAGATGGGGAGCCGCCAGAACCAAGAAGCTGGATGAAGCGACTGTTTGATGGAAGGTGCCAAGAGGGGCTGTGCGCGCTGAGCCTAAAAGTCCTTCTCAAGCTACAAATATATACGCATTCGTATGCACACAGCTGTGTCAAATCTGCGCTCCCTTTCAGGGACCAGCAGAGACTTAATCTCAGAATCTCTATTGATAAAAACTCGACCCAGAGGGCATCAGGAGGTGGCGCCGGGTCAAGTCAGGCTCTGGGAGCTCGCAGGAGGAGCTGGGGGTTTGGGGGACAAGGGTGCGTCCCCAACACCTGTGGGCGCCCAGATCAGAGTCCATTAGGAGGACGCTTTTCGAATGGCACTGGTCGCCCCGTGGAATAGGAAAGGCGAAGGGGGCTGCGGAGGGGTTTCCAGCTGCGAGAATGTTGCTTTAGAGAGGTCGAGAGAAGAGCCTTTCCCGAAACAGGGGGGTGTGGGGGGGTGGTAGGGGGGCGGGGGAGAGAGAGAACACACGCGCACACACACACACGCACGCACGCACACACACGGGGGGGGGAGGAGGGAACAAAACGGCGCATGCGTAGTCAGATCTGCTCCAAAGCCACCACTTCGATGGATGCGGAAGCGACTGCGCCATCGGGCTTCATTTTCGGCCTTCCCATGAGCCTTTGGGGCAACCTCCAAGGCGAACGGCGGAAACAGCCGCTCTTGGTTTCCGGCAACAAAGCCGCGGCAGCCCGGTAACCCGGAAGTGTTCCCATCTTGCGTTGTCGGGGTTCGGCGGCGGCCGGGCTCGGGGTGGACGTGCCGCCATGGGGTCGTCAAAGAAACACCGGGGCGAAAAGGAGGCAGCCGGGACCACGGCGGCGACCGGCACCGGGGGCGCCACGGAACAGCCACCGCGGCACCGGGAGCACAAGAAGCACAAGCACCGGAGCAGCGGCGGGGGCAGCAGCGGAGGCGAACGGAGGAAGCGGAGCCGGGAGCGTGGGAGCGAGCGCGGGAGCGGGCGGCGCGGGGCCGAAGGCGAGGCCCGCGGGGGCGCTCACGGGCGGGAGCGCGGCCAGGCCGAACCCTCCGAGCGGCGAGTGAAGCGGGAGAAGCGCGATGATGGCTACGAGGCCGGTGAGAGGCGCAGCTCCGGGGGCGGGGGGTCCCACTGCGTGCCGGCCCGGGCACCCCGACTCATCATCAGCGCTTAATAGAGCCTCCCTGCAGTCGTTAGGGCCTGAATACAGTCCCCCTCTACTCCTGGGGCCACGCGAGTCTGTTTCCCTCCATTTCCGAAGCTTTTTGCCCACAGTAGACACGAGTCGCTGTGAATGATCTGCTGACGGCACCTAACAGCAGGGTGTGTTGTGTGAATGACTGTACGAACGGGAAGCCTGGTAGTTGGCACATCGCGGAGGCTGTAACGTGGGCAGTGATTGGGACAAGAATGAGCTCACATGTCCGATTAAGAGATGTGAATTCTGCCCCTCGGGCATTGAGCCAGGGGCTTGAGATAGGGAGTGAGATGTTTAGATTGACGTTTTGCAAAAATTACAGCATTGAGGGGTAGGTGGGCAGGACCGTGGCAGTGACGTGAGGGCTGAGGTGGGACAGGTGAAGGCTGATGGTGGCTTCAGCTTGAGACCTGGGGGCAGTGGGATGGAGAGACGAAAACAGGACGAGGTGAACTTTTGGAGGAGGATGGTGAAACTGCATTGTTATTAGTGATCAGATATGCAGCTATCAAAACCCTATCCAGTCCCACGCCATCCCCGCAGCTTCCATTGTTCTGGTCACTGTCAGTCCATCTCGTGGCTGTTTGGATTTGGGCTTGAGCAGCTAGGCAGCTGGTGCCATCAGTGGAGATGACACAGGCTGTGAGAGAAGTTGGTTTGTGGAGTGACAATCACTGAGGGTCTTCGAGGTCCAGGTCTGGGCTAGAGGGGGAGCTGGGGATTCATGAGTGTTCAGGTGGCAGGTAAATTCCTCTGAGAGGGAACTTAGGGCAGGAAGCCTTGTGAGGAACAGAAGCTGGGAAATACCTGTGCATGGAGGTGAATGGAGGAAGGGGCTCCAGAGAAAAGGTCAGGTAGCCAAGGAGGCAGGCTGGCAGGAAACCAGCAGTCTTGTGCAATGGGGGGGGGTCTCAGAAAGAGAGTGATTTTAGAAGAAGGGAGTCATCAGCAGTGTTCCGGAGCTGGAAAGCATTTTGGACTTAAAAATTAGGGCACTAGTGACCTTGGAGAAAATCCAGAGAGATTGGGATCCAGGGCCCAGGTGGTAAGGGGAGTCCTTGGGATAAAAAGAGGAGGCGGATGGGATGCAGGTCAGTATGCATGTAGTGGCTGCTGGCTGTGGACCCCTGTCTGTTGGATAGCTTCTCTTTATGGTGTTTGAAGATACTTGCCATTTGGGAGCTTGGTGGAGGAAGTCCCCAATGTCCGGGACAGAGTAGGCCACCACTGCAGAGGCCCTGATGAGCAGTGTGCTTTGACATGAACTGTGTGAGGAGAGCACACAGTTTTGTTTCCAACACAGTCCCTGCTTGCTGGCGGGGAGAGACCCAGAAATGACAGTGGGTGTGCCCAAGAGAGCGCGTCATTCTGATCAGTGATTGAACAGGGATTCACAGAGAAAGTGCCGTTTGACCTCTGTGTTCAGGTTGGATTTTTGTCAATCTGAGCAAGGCCAGAGAGGGTAGGGCAGCTTGAAGACAGATTGTGCAGAAGTGGAGAGAAGGCAAAGTGAGGGTGCAGTGAGCCGGGGCAGGAAAGGAAGAATGGAGAACGGGCAGGATTCTCAGAGACTGTGACTCAAGCAGAAAGAGCTGTTGAGGTAAAGGTAGCCTGAGAGGAAGGCTGCAGTAGATGCCGATTTCTGGGGTCTCTGCAGGGCCAGGGACTCATGAGGCAGGCTCAGCTCTGCCCTTGGCGGGAACCAGGGCACTGGCTTCCTGAGTCTTTGCTCCACTCCTGAGCCCTGCTTCTTGTTCCAGCCGCCAGTTCCAAAACCAGCTCAGGAGATGCCTCGTCGTCATCGCTCAGCATCGAGGAGACCAAGTATGTCCTTTCCCCAGGGATTTCTGCCTGTTCCCTCAGAGACCTGTGGCTTCCTGGGCAGTCACTCAGGAGGCTTCTGCCCACTAAAGCGTTCTGCTGGGCGTGGGACGGGTCAGGTGAATCAGCTTCCATTTGAAAGCTGGAAGAGGGGACTAAAGCCCAGGCTGAAGGGTGGCTTCCCACGGCTGGAGGCCGGCCAGCCAGACCACTGATGCTCCCTGATTTGGAGAGCTACTGGGTTTGAACTTCCAAACTTGCATTTAGTGGCTAGACACTAACCACTGCTTCTTGAAAGCCTTGGAGCTGCTCATTCCCACCACGTTTTTTTGCTCCATCAGTCGAGAAATGCATGTGATGGCCCATTTCCTTACAACCTCTAATACTGTGTCTCTTGTTCTCAGTAAACTCCGGGCGAAGCTGGGGCTGAAACCGTTGGAGGTCAATGCAGTCAAGAAGGGTGAGTGTCTATTAAAAATATTTCTCCTGTCTGTTCACACACACACACACAAAAAAAAAAGAAAAGAAAGAAAAAAAGAAGGGGTAAGTGTGGGGCTTAGGATGAGGAGAAAAGAAGTCATTGTCAGAAGGGGTCTTTGAGGAGAGGGGGTTAAAGGCTAGAGTTCTCACTGCTTGGTGGAACGTGAAGCACACATGCGGGAGGAGCTTCACTGGTCCTGTCAGTGTGATCACTGCATTGTCACTGTGCTGTGACATGGCATGATGTGGACTGAAAGGCGGGCATAATTGGTTTTGTTCAGAATCTCTTTTGAGAGCCTCTGGAAGGTGTGGAGGGTCCCACCATGTGGAGTGATGTGGGAAGAAGGAGGGGAGGGATTCTTGTGCCTCACTCCCTCATCCCTCTCCTTCCGGCCCTGGAGCTGGAAGGGGCAGAGTGAGTGGCTCCCCCTCTCCCCACCAGCCTTGGGGCAGGCTAGCCTCACGTCTGGGCCCCACTTCCAGAGGCGGGCACCAAGGAAGAGCCCCTGACCGCCGAAGTCATCAACCCCATGGCCTTGCGCCAGC